TCCCGATAGCAATGAATATAAGTGCTTTGACAAAAAATCCATAAAAAAATTTCATCTGTGGAAGCCGTAGTACTGTAAAAAGCACGACCAATCATTTTAGCCGGCCCGGCTAAAATAACTGGATGGCCTACCTGCCTGTCAGCCTTCCAACTGGGCACAAACTTATCTCGTGCCCTCATTGGTCATGTGCGCGTTCGTGTGTGTTGGAGGAGGGGCTCTGTAAGGAAGTGGCAGATTTTTTCCGGTTGTGTAATTTCAAATTCTAGCACACTCGAGTTGGTTTCTCCAAAATGACCTACCCCACCTTTAAGTTGGATGAACAAAACTGCTTGATGTTGAAAAAGAGTAATTTAATGGAGTGGAGGAATGAATCCTAAAACCCCGGAAATGAGTTGACAATTGAACAACTCTGGTTTCCTTGTCTCAATACGTCAGTAATTACCCTATACTTTGAATATATATGTATCATAAAAGTATTGGTTACTGTAGTAACAAGGGACTAAATGAGACCATTCAACATCAGGTCTTCCGTTGGCTTTGCCGTATGGACGTATGAGTCATGTTTGTTTAAAGCTTACTTTTTTACTTCTGTCAATTGCATTTAGGCTCCAGAAATCAGAAATGGTGTAAATATGTGGAGAGCTTTCTGCTTAAAGGGGACCTATCATGCAAAATGCACTTTTGTACGTCTTTTATACATGAATATGTGTCCCCGGTGTTCCAGAGAACTCACCAAGTGTCAGAAGACACAACCTTCTCTATTTTCCTCCATACCCAAATCTCTAAAAAAGGGGCTGCAACGGATCTGATAAAAACTGATCCAGATTTGAACACTGTCCTGACGTCAGGACGGTGGCGCTACGGCTATTGGGCCAACTCCACCAATCAGGAGGAGACAGCCACGGCCATTGCCGTTCAAAAGCGCTGGAGACGCTGTAGTACATATGCCAGGCCTGTAGATGGTGCTGTTCTCACAGAATCAGCCCTTGCAAAAACAGGGGTAAAAAAGTGCAAATTGAGCGAAATGAGGCATGGCTAAAATGCATGATCTGTTTGGTATTTTGAAAAAAAAAAAGTATAAATATGCCTTATATACTGTAGGTATGGTCCTATACTATATTATTATAATATAGCATGATAGGTCCACTTTAACAAAACATGTACCAAAAAGGTTTGTTTACAACAGATCTTCTTTTCTGCAATTTTACAACATCAATGGAAAGTTCCCATTCATTTTTGTAAACGAAAATATGTCATTACTGCACCACTTTTCCTGAGGTGTTAGTTACATATATCCTTAAAAGATGTATGGAATGTTTTGCGAGTTAAGCTCTTAAACACTACTTGGAGCATTAAGTAGTGACAGTGAGGCGCTCTGAATCTGTATCATAGCGAGAGGTAGCAGCCAGATGAAGGAGCCGCGGGGTCCTGGCACTGCTGATTACTGGCTATTTTATTAGAGCAAAAATAGCATTTCATAAAGCTGATTCATGTTAACGGAGCTGATGAATGATGAACACTGGACAGTACCGTACATCTAAACATGTAGGGGGAGAGGCTTAGAGATATGATGCACGTTGTCTAAACAGAGGGGGGTTGATACAAAATCTGAAAAGCTGTGTCACGGATGTAGGTACAACTAAGTATTGTCACATTATTTTCAAGATACCAATGTTTATGGTGAAAGCAAACATGGTTGAGTTAATATGTCTACATTATACACGCGGCTGAGAGAATGGATGTAATAGAGATGCTATCAAAAATCACATTCCAATCAGGGTTTCATATCTGTACTTCCCTCAGCATAGGGATCGTATATCTCTCATACAGATATTGGAACAATGTGTCAGTGTCATACAGTAAAACATTATGTATAATAACTCCACAGCGTTAATGTTGCAGTTTCTCAGGGGTCCGTATTGGGCCTGGAAATGACTAATGTTAGGTTATGTGTATTGATTTGTTCATTTTGTCAGACAATCTGTTGTCAAAAATATGTTGGAACCATTATACTGTACAATAACCCTGACATTTGACATGGGTTCTAACTAATGGGTCCATTAATGGTTAATAAATCATGTACTGTGTATCAATTTGAGCACAGTTATACATGAATATCTTGCTGTGGATGTCACTAAAAAATGTGCATTTAAAAGGTGTAATTCAGGGGTGTCAAACTCAAGGCCCGGGGGCCAAATCCGGCCCGTGACTTCATTTTCTGTGGCCCCACAAGAGCTTGCAAAGAATATTATATGTTTATTATACGGTTACATGATGATTTACAGAAGCACGTTGCCCATAAACTACATGTCCCACAATGCATCTCAAATTAGACTTTTTTCTCAGAATTTGACTTTTTTCTTCTAAATATGCCTTTTTTCTTAGAATGTGCCTTTTTCTCAGAAATGTACTCTTTTTTTTTAAATGTTACTTTTTTTTTAAATGTCACTTCTGTTTTTTGATTTTGACTTTTTTTCCAGAATGTGGCTTTTCTTTTTAAATCATTTTGTGACATGCACGCTGAAGAGACTTGCAATTATTTGCCCCAGACTTCTGCTTTCAGACGTAGTTAATTATGAAGTTATTACCCTATCCAATAATAATCCAATGCAGAGGCAATAAAGTAATATACTACATTATTTTATATATATATTTATATATGTCTTTTTATATAGTCTTAAAGTTACAACCAGCCCTTTGAGTGCAGCCATAATGCTGATGTGGCCCGCGATTCAATTGAGTTTGACACCCCTGGTGTAAGTGATTTGATAACTGATGGATTTGTCAGAATATGTATTGTAATATAAATGTTGGCACTGAAGGGGGACTTATGACCCTTTTCAGAGGGTCAGAGGAAGAGTCAAACTGTGTAAACAGGAGGGAAATAACACAAGCTTTTCTCGTGAGCATTCATTGTTTTCGTTTGTTCGATCATGTGATATCCATATATGTGCTTTGTTAGAGATAATGTATTTTGATTTCCCGTAATTTCACAACCACACGTATACTGTAATAAAGTGAATGAAAAAATTGAATGAACTGAATTTAAATAAGAATTGTTTAAAGTTCTGGTTTGTGTGTGTAAATATTATTCTTTCTTTTCACTCTTTTTTCAGCATCTTCCTCTACTGTGACTAGAAGAAAATACTTGAAATTGAAGTGAAGAATATAATGCTACATTTATTTATTAAGTGGGCCTTCTTGAAACTTTATTTTCCCAAATCCCGACTGTAAACTGGTTACTAATTCTATACAGAGCTACATATAATACTAACTGTTGTAGTGTTCTGTTTTGCAGTGAGTATACAATACAAAATAAAAAAATAAAAAAATGTCTCATACCAACTGAAAATTCATAATTTCTCAGAACGCACAAAGAGAAGATTTCATACTTTTCAATGTATTTGTTCAGATGTTTGTTGGAAATGTCCCCCACAGCTTCTCTAGTCCCCTTTGTGTTTCAATTGCCGTTAATAAGATGAAGCAAAAAAACCTTTCTTCCTGACTGCAGCTGGCCTTATCGTGATGCACATATTTACTGTCTCCACACACGACATTCTTTATATGTCATAGAATATAGCCCGGTCAAATATTTTTTAACATTTCTCAACAAAACTGCACAGGATTTCCACTTAAGACAGATATATCTTAACACAATGTTCATGTTTTCCTTAGAATGTTACATGATGTGTCTTCACGTATGCCCTGTATTTATCGTGGTGCATCAACAAACTCCTTATCTTTGCAAGACCACATGGCAATAAAAGTGACTCTGATGCTTTGCCTGTGTGTATTACACAGTTTAAAAGTAATATATATATATATATATATATTTATATATACGTGCGTATTCAACTGATAATAATTGTGGTAACTGTAACATATACAAGAATTAAAGAATGAAAATAATTAAAAATGTGTTTTAAATTCACTGTTTTTATGGGAACACACTACAGTTTGGAATATGACTTGGATGAATATGTAGTATGGACAACGCCTGATTCTACATATGTAACTCATCTCCTTACTTCAAGATCACTAAACCTTTCTGCGGTTGGACTGAAAACAGTCAGCATCTCCATCGCTCTATGTCAGCAGCCAGACTCTAGACAAAACCAGTCAACACTATTGGAGTGATTATGCAAACACAAGTGTAAGCATAAACCTGAATTACAAACACATCCAATTAAAGGCATTCAGATAACTTATGTCCTTGACAAGTCTATTTCATGTCATCTATATGAATACAAGGACGAATTAAGATCATTATTAAGGCCCAGGCTATGCAGTGTGAGAATGGACTCAATAATAATCTCTGGGATTTCATTTGAAGTATAGGAAGTGAGGGATTGGTCAGATTGCTGCAACTATCCAGGGAGACAACTCTCTAACATCACCCATGTTTTGTAGCCTTCTCTATTTTGTCAGGGGAGATGAATAATGCATGGAGGCTGCGAAAAACACTATCAGCTTTTCCACTATTGTGACAAGAGCACCAGGAGATAGGCTGCATTCATTTGGAGCACTTCTAGTTTTTTTCTCCAAGGCTGGATAATGACATTTCTATCAGCCTGTTTGCCAACTTGAGTTTCGTTCTGTCTTCTAGAAAATTGAAAACTTAAGGGCTAGGATAAAGAAGCTGCAGAGGAATCATAAAATAAGTTTGAACTGTTATTAGACAGGGATTTTGATTGTATACGATGTGTTCTGACTTTAAAAGGCTTTGAGGATAGGTAGCTTTGCATTCATGATTTGACCGAAGTGTAACAAAACAGCACATGTGTGTCAGTGTGTCCGTCACATAAGGAGAGTGTGTGTGTGAGGAGCATCGGTGTGAGCACATGGAGGGACTGACAAAAGAAAGAAACAACTGGAAGATTCCCGGGCCAAAATAAGACTTAAATCCACAACAAAAACACCTCATTCAGTAATATGAGGCAAAGCTCTTCTTGACACTCAAAATGCAAAAACGTGGAGTAAATATGTGTGCCAATTCTTACCTTTAGCGCCAACGTCCGTCACCGCCGCCACACAAACAAGCAGGAGAGGAAAATAATCTCTGATCGCGTTCATTTTCAACCGTTTCCCAGGTTTGCGTGTCTCGAGCTTTTAGTATAGTGAACGTCCTTGAGATCAACACTATTCCTCCGGAGAACTGAAGCACTGAGAGCTCCGCCGAACACCGACTGCACGCACGAAGAAGAACGCGCTCCTATCGGTCACTTCAGCCCCGGCTCGCTGTCTGGCTCCACTCAATGACCGAGGCGATGATGGGCTTTCAGTGTCGCTCTGCCACGGTGACTGCAGACTGCACAGACCTCACACTGTCCTGACTGGATGACTGGAGCCTGTGGACTGCTGTCTGTGCTGGCCCGCTCTGAGTTCTGCTCCGCCGCCTGCCTTCAGCACCGCGGACAGCTCCTAGCGTTGGCCAATGGAACACGAGAAGCAACGAAGTTCCAAGTTTGGGACGTTCCAAACTGAAATATGGTACTTGTGGGTTATCTGTCACCACTTTTTTTCAGACTCTTTAAATACGCACTTGTTTTGTTTTTTTCAAACTCTTTAAAGACGCACTTGTTTTGTTTTTTTCAAACTCTTTAAATACGCACTTGTTTTGTTTTGTTCAGACTCTCTAAATAACCCTAACCCTAACCCATAGGATTAATGTTTGTTATTTTGAGAAATGAAAAATGGCGTTGAAGAGTTTGTTAACTTCTTGAAAAAAGGACTCACTTTTGGCCTGTTTTTTCATATTTTCCCCTATCCGTGCAACCATGGAATGGCAATGATTTTACCAGTGGTGAAAGAAGTACTTTTTACACTAAATTGCATTACATTACATTACATGTCATTTACTGTAGCTGAGGGGACTTACGTACAGACATGCCTACACAAGCAAGGTTTGTGTTAAGTGTCAAGGACACTTTGACTGCAGAGTTGGGGGTTGAACCACTGACCCTCTGATTGGTAGAGGCCCCTTTATCCCCTGAGCCACAGCCACCCCAAACTTTACTTCAGTCGACCCTTAAATGGTTTCTGTATCCTTGGGGATTCATTTATTTGACAGGCTGTGTCCATGTGTAAACTTAGTTTAATTACATTGTAATTATGGTGCAATATGGGGTAATATTTGTGTTACATGGGTCTAATATGGGTATAAAAGGGGTGTAATAACAGTGTAATTACGGTGTCATATGGGTGTAAAATTGCTTTATTATATGGGTCTAACATTATACATATGGATCTACATAACATCATCTTTAATGCTCCCTTTCAGTTTGACATCATTACAAACACTCAGTTGCTATTGCATTGGGTACATGTCTTACAGTGATCAAGGTTCAAAGTAAAGACATCATTGAGTTGCATTATCTCAATTGTAGAATAAAGCATGTTTAGCTTAGCATGTGCTATGGACTAAAAGTCAGGCTATCTCAGGCTCCATTCATTTTTTTATCTGGCTTTCACAAATCCCCCAACTTGATGGAAGTGTAATAATAAATCTGTAGTGTCGCCCTTTAAAACTCTTTGTGGGCTGAATTCTTCCATGACATAACACTGAATGTTTGCAGCTTTTTTCATCATTTTGGTGTAGCCTTTGGAACATGTTTGTGATATAGAGGCACATATAGAGCCTTTTCTTTTGTAACATTACAAATGAGGGGAAACTCCCTCTGGAGGGGGCTTTGGGAGTTCATTCATTGCAGACCATTGAAATACCTAAACACAGATGAAACAAACGACAGGAAAGGGGAAACCACACTTAGAGCAGGAGACAGAGCATTCTACCAATTCCTAGAGCTTCCAATAGCTTGATGAGCTAGCTAGTTACCATTGCTAGAATTGGCTAGCTACAGTTTTTATTTCAGAAATGTTGGGTCAATCAATTGTAAAACAGAGCAATAAAAGAGCTGTCAGCTTTGACATTTGGTTTGGAAGTAAACAGCTTTGAACACAAAGGCTTTACATTTAGAGGTGAATCATTTCTTCTCATGTGGAAGGAATCTGGAGAAAATCCTTCTCTGTGCTTTGCTGGCAATTACAAAGTATTAGCAATGTGGAAAGTCCTCGTGAACAAAATGTGATAAGCAATGGCTAATATAAGGAATTTAAACATACAAAATGAGGATTGCCAAGTTCAGTATGCAAATGATGCAGGCACTATATCGTTGCTTATGTATTATGTGTTGGCCTGAATTCCTGTCAAAACAAGAAGAAGAAAAAAACAGAATGCAACTCAAAGCAAAATGGAATGCTTTAATGAGTCTTTGACAGAGATTAGCGATACAATGACCTGCACATCTACATGTTTGCTCTCTGGAAATAGCTACATCTGCATAAAAGAGAACAAACACTATGAACAGTGACCTTTTGGGAATAATTGCAAAACTGTTAGGAGAGCTGTTTTCCACTCAATGATGAAATGTGCGTCTCATCTCTGAGCCGTGTTTGTAAATGTTCCTAATTCCTGTCTCCCTTCCTGCTTTGGCTCACCAAGCACCAGTTGGATTTGACAGTGTTGCGTCAGCCAGCGTCTGCGTCTTTTACATCTATTGGTTTTGATTCATCCCGTACTGCTGCACCTCTGGCTACCCAGTGAAACCTCTGGCAGCTACGCTCAGCTTCTGAAGCTTTCGCAGTCAAGTTGCTGCACATCCCTCCAGCTGCAGCTCACCTCGCTGAGAAATGACTCACTCCGTCAATACGGGGAGAAAGTCTCCAACACAGAAAACGTGTTGGAGCTCCTCAACACATTTGCTGTGATTTACGCACCTTTGCCTCACAGCAGAAATGCTATTCATAGATTCAACACTATGTAAAAGGCAAGTCCTGCACAGGCATTACTCATCACATTAAAGGCACAGTCGGCAGTATTTGGAGCACTCACATGTGAGGTCTATTTACATACAGCACAGGAACAGAGGAGATACAATATCATGTATTTGATATTTACCCAAAGTAACCGGGTGGACCAAATGCCAACCGAGGGCAGAGTGCCACCAGGAGTAAACTTATCTGTAACATGGCTTAGTTAGATAATCATATCTGATTGGTTAATTTCGACATTCAGCGATCTGTTCCTTTTTTCGCTAGCAGACCGTTGCTAAGGATAGCAGACCGTTGCTAAGGATAGCAGATTGTTGCTAATTGTTGCATATTCACTTTGATCATGAGACTATGTGCAGTCATATCAATCTGCCAAAAGGAGTCAGGTTGTTTTAACGTCATCTTTAACCATAAAAACACATACTTTTTCCTCCATCAGAAATTACCATGGAATACTTTTTGAATATTAATTAAAAGTATTGAAAAGAAAAGAAAAGAAAAAACGGACAGGAAATAAGACAGACAGGAAATAAACAATAAAGTGAATACGTCAAGGGCTCATACAGTGTTTAAAGACTGGTTAATTGGATACAATTTGAACAGACCTCAACAGTTTTAAGGCAGAAAACCTCGATCAGTAGGCTACTGCCGCCATTTTAAGTTACGTAGGTAGCTGTCACCGTAGTTCCAGCCGTTGGGACGCTGTGGAACTGATTCTGCTTCAGAATCCTGCTCAACCTGTTGGTGTTCTTTTCTCATGAATGAACGTCTTGCTGCCCATGTTCCTTACTCACCTTGACTAAGCTTAGTTAAATATAGTATTAAGTGGTGTATGTATCAACATTTTATGCCTTAAGGATAGACACAATGCATTTTCGGGCAAAAAACATGCATTTATTTTTTACAAGGAGAGTCCACAAAGCGCCTTTAAGGATTATTATGACTAACGGCATCAGGAAAATGAGTTACTGTCTTCATTTGTGTAAATCCATGTATTATAGCAAGAGACGGCTCACACAACCTCTCTTTCACATTCTGAGCAGGATCATATAATAATGAGATGTGATGACAACAGAACCAATGCTTTAAGGCCTATTACATGTTATCTTTTCATCTATATGTTATAAAGGGTCATTTTTTACAAGGGGATTTGGTTTCTTTTAAGGAATTTATTTTCACGGATCAACACATTGCTCTATATAATTCCTATACTGGTGCACTGGTGCAGTTCACTTATTATGCTACAAATCTGGGACTGTTTGTGTTTTGTAGGATTTGGGTCAGTTACATAGAAAGTGGGGCTTCAGGTCTCACTTCTTCTAAGAATCTTTCTTTGTGTCTCTCCCCCAGTTTAAAGATGTCTCTCCTACCTGCAGAGTAATTGTTGCCCTACTGTTGAATCTGCCAATCACAGTCTTAGCTGACAGCCAAAAACCAAAGCACTTAATTTCCCACAAATATTGCTTCATCTCGCAGAATGAAAGATATTTACATAAAAAGACAGACAGAACACGTATTTTCACATTACAGTATTCAGGAGCATATTACTTTTTACTGTATCTGCACAAATCATTTTAGAGTGACATATTTAATATGATGACATTGCTATTGAAGCTTCTTAAAGAAATGGAGGAATTTTTAAGTCAAGAAGTGAATAGGAAAATGAAATGTCCTTTTGATATGTGATGAGAAAAGATTTACAGTGGGGCCAAAAGAAAAAATATGCAGTCTATCCGATCATCCATGGAACCCTTCTGTTGTGTTTCTCCGGAAATGTATCCCCATGTTTTTATGGATTCCTATCCACTTGTACACCACAGACATTTAAGTTTTGTGCGCAAATTACAAATAGCAACTACAATGTTGGAGTTTTCAAGAAAGGGTATTCAAAAATATGAATGCTAATTTGGTCCGGCAGGTCTGGCTGGGCAGTCAGAAGATGCTGTCGGTTGAGCTTAGTGACATGGCCGGTTATCCTGCTGGAAGAAGCCATTAGGAGATGGGTATTCTGTGGATGGACAGACACTACAGATGGACTTAGTACCAAGGGGGCTTAAAGGGAGCCAAGAAAATATCCCCACACCAATACAGCCCCACCAGCAGCCAGAACCCTTGGTTCAAGGGACGATGAATCCAGACAACATGTTGGATAGCCCCTTTCCCAAAACACACACACTTCCAAAGTCTCTGACAAACACACACACTGAGCAAGGGTTGATTGCTTTATGCTTTTTCCCCCTGATTTTATGAATATAGATTATGAATCCTGCTGACTTTGGTGATCCCCACATCTTTCGCTGTTCTTCGTTTTTTCTGAGGTTGACGTGTGTAATATGTCTCAAGGCATGCTGGGTAGGCTCATCACGTGGATCTGTTTCTAGTCCCTTACGT